AAAGACTGAGAGCAGGAGGAGAAGGGGACGACAGAGGATGAGATGGTTGGATGGCATCACTGATTCGATGGACATAAGTTTGAGTGGACTCCAGGAGTTGGTGATGAACAGGGAGCCCTAGAGTGCTGCGGTCCATGGGGTCGCAGGGTCGGACACGACTGAGCAACTGAACTGAACTGAAGTGAATGCCGTAGATATTTGACTGCTAACACTAGTAAGAGAGTAGTGTAGCCAAAAATGCAGTATTTGGACAGGACTGTAAAAAAGAAAGCTGTTATCCTTAGAAAGTCAAATGTTTCCACCTTCCCAGGGTTACTAATGCTGTTTTCCCACAGCTTCTTGGAAAATATCGCTGTTTTCTCTGGGCTCTTTCCAGGTGCTTTATTGAGAGAGTAAAATGGAAGAAGAGGAAAATACCATAAACAACCTCACTATGGAAGGACAGGAAATGCTGACCTCAACCTACTTCTGTTCTTTCTGTATAAAATTCTCATATGTGTAATTGTGGAGGAAGAAGGATGATCAGAAAATACGGCACTGGTCATTTGCTGATTGTTCTAGCACAATAATTCTCAAATACATTCATTCTTTAGTCTAAATCAGAGCTTCTAAAACATTCTGTGGTAAAGGACCAAATTTTAAAATTTCCATCTACTGCAAGCTTTTATAAATTACAGTAGAAATGAGTTACTAGAAAAGTAAATTTTTAAAAATATACAAAATATAAGCCCCCAAATTTTGTATTAGTGATTTCAACGGGCATAAAATAACTCTGTCAAATTGCTATTAAAGTTTATAAAAGCTTATTCTCAGCTTTTGTACTTACCTTGTGGCAAATGGGTAACAAACTATTCTGAACTACAGTCTGAAAAGAATTGTCCTAACCACACACACATCCACAAACATGGGACACATATACATTACAGAAGCACACACAAACACATCAAAGTAAAGATAAATTTCTATCCATTTTAAAAATAATTTAAATATATAGAAAATAATTGTTTTACATATTTCTTTAAAATCCACTTTATACCAAAAAAGTTGATGAGAAAGCGGAAGTCTCCTATCCCACCTCTCCCCTTCAGCACCTACCCAAAGTGGCAGCTGACTAACAATCACACCTGTCGGGGAGCGGTCACTGCCAGCCTCCCTCCCCCCAGCCTGACTTTCCTCCTGGGGCTGTCTTCTTCTCACAGCTGCTGACCTGGGTATTCCCTCTGCGTCTCTTCTGTACAGGGGCACCCTTTGAGAAAGACTATAATGCTGTTCAAAATATTTGTGGCTCCTGCCTTGGGGTTGATTACACTCACCCCATTGATGTCAGGCTTGGTTATGAGTTGTGATGTCCCATCCGATGGGAGGATTTTCTACCTCTGCCTTGTTAAACTCAGAAGTGACCGTATGACTTGCTTTGGCCAATGACATGTGACATTCCAAGGTGGAAACTTAAGAGAGAGTTCTATCATCTCTTTTCCCTCTGCCACAAGTCTGGCAATTTCACAGATAAAGGATGCTCCACCAGCCTGAGTCCAATTATGATGATGAAAAGGAGCAGAACTACACAATGGACACACTGGGTGAAAAGAAATAAACCTACACTGTAAACCACTGAGAGTTTGGTATTGTTTGTGACTGCATCATAGCCTGAGTTGATGAATATATCTGTATTTCCTAGATCTCCTTTGTTGGCTTTACGCTCTAAATTTGGCAATTTATCTTCCAGTAGCTTCCTGAGAAAGTGTCTATAACAGGCAAAGATCTAATATGTCTGAAAATAATAGAATACTGAGTTTGAAATAATTTTTCTCTCAGAATCAGAAAGCATTGAGACATTGTCTTCTAGTTTCCAATGATGCTGTTGAGAAGACCACTGTTGTTTTTTCTAGTCTTTTGTGTGTATCTTCACGTGCTCCCAGAGGCTTTTAATGGCTGTTCTAAAATTTTGTGGTCATGTGCTTTGTTACGGGGCTTTTTCAAGAGATCTCAGTGTCTCTTTCGATCTTAATGCTCATGTTTTTCAAATCTAGGACAGAATCTTCAATATTCTCTTAAAATCATCTTTTTTTTTAAATAAAAATTTTAGTTTCATCAAAGTTAAGCATGCTCAAAGTTTGCAGAGTCAACAACCTTCTCACTGAATATTTACTGTTCCCCAGGGACAGCCACTCTGATTTTTTTTTTTTTTTTTTTAGCTAGTTTTTGGTATTGACCTCCATATCTCTACACATGTATTTAATTGTGGTAACATGATATTTCTGTTTTAGGTATTATTTATTTTCATTATGGAAATGAGGATTTATTCTCCTTCTTCTCTGAACACCCACAACATACATGCTGCTTTCACTATATATCATAACTTTAATTAGATTAATCATGAGTTTTTACATTATTCAATTCAGTTCAGTTCAGTCGCTCAGCTGTGTCCAACTCTTTGTGACCCCATGAATCACAGCACGCCAGGCCTCCCTGTCCATCACCAACTCCCGGAGTTTACTCAAACTCATGTCCATCGAGTCGGTGATGCCATCCAGCCATCTCATCCTCTGTCGTCCCCTTCTCCTCCTGCCCCCAATCCCTCCCAGCATCAGGGTCTTTTCCAGTGAGTCAACTCTTCACATGAGGTGGCCAAAGTACTGGAGTTTCAGCTTCAGCATCAGTCCTTCCAATGAACACTCAGGACTGATCTCCTTTAGGATGGACTGGTTGGATCTCCTTGCAGTCCAAGGGATTCTCAAGAGTCTTCTCCAGCACCACAGTTCAAAAGCATCAATTTTTCAGCACTCAGCTTTCTTCACAGTCCAACTCACATCCATAGATGACCACTGGAAAAACCATAGCCTTGACTAGACAGACCTTTGTTTGTAAAGTAATGTCTCTGCTTTTTAATATGCTATCCAGGTTGGTCATAACTTTCCTTCCAAGGAGTAAGTGTCTTTTAATTTCATGGCTGCAATCACCATCTGCAGTGATTTTGGAGCCCCAAAAAATAAAGTCTGACACTGTTTCCACTGTCTCCCCATCTATTTCCCATGAAGTGATCATGGACCAGATGCCACGATCTTAGTTTTCTGAATATTGAGCTTTAAGCCAACTTTTTTTACATTATCGGGACCTTGTATTCCAGTTAGATTTGAGTCATGTAATAACTATGATTACTTTTCCTCTCCTACCAAACTTTTTGTTTTCCCTGGAGTTAATAACTGTATTGTTCTTTTCATTTACTTAGTTTCCTAAGCATATATTGCCAATTCAAAACTCTCTACCACTCATTTAAATTCTCATTCTGACATTTTTTAGATGTCAGACTTTCTGGTTGGTTGGTAAGTTGGTTGGATAGTTTGTTGGTTTCTCTCTTTCAGGATGGACAATTCCCTTAAATTCTCTGGAGTACTCCCAAATGGAGATCCTTTCTCCTCATTTCTCAAGAAAGAAGGATTGAATATACTTTAGTTAGCAGTTTGTTAGCTGGGTTTATAACTTTTAAATATTTGGACAAATGTTCCATAGGCCTCTATTTATTCTCTTTTCCCAGGCTCTACAAATGGATAAAGAAGACACGGCCACGAATCCCTGAACTCTGGGTTCCTGTCGGGCAAATTTGCTTCCTTCTCATCAATACCCCTTCTGCAGGCTTAGGTATCAGCTTCTCCAACTCTAACTCAGTTACCCTTCCTCCATCCATCCTATCTTCTAAGTATGTGCTGAATTCTCTCAACTGCTGTTGTCAGCTTTTCTGTTCCTTTTGTCCTTGAGGGTTTGCAGAAGTATCCTATTGCTGCTGTGACAAATTACCACAAACTAAAAGTCTTCAAACAACACAGGTTTATTATCTTAAAATGCTGGAGGTCGGAAGTCCGTAATCAGTCTCAGACAGCTAAAATCAAGGTGTTGGCAGGTGGCATCCCGTTAGGAAACTGTGAGGGAGAATCTGTTTCTCTGCCTTTTCAAGTTCCTACAGGGTGTCTGCATTTGTTGGCTAGTGACCTCATCGTCTATGCTCAAAGCCAGCTGCTGAGCCTCTTCCATTCTCTCTCTTTAACTCACCTGCCTCCTTCTTTCCCTTATAAAAAGCTTTGTGATTACATTGAAAGAGAAAATGTTGGTCGCTCAGTCATGTCCAACTCTTTGCGACTCCATGGACTATAGCCCGCCAGGCTCTTCTGTCCATGGAATTCTTCAGGCAAAAATACTGGAGTGGGCAGCCATTTCCTTCTCTAGGGGATCTTCCTGACCCAGGGGTTGAACTCAGGTCTCCTGCATTGCAGGAGGATTCTTTATCATCTGATCCACCCTGGAAGCCCTCGGGGATTACACTGGGCCCACTCAAACAATCTAAGATAATCACCATATCTCAAAATTCTTAACTTAATCACATCTGCAAAGTCCTTTTTTTTTCAAATAAGACAATCACAGGTCTCAGGAATTAAGATAGGAGTATTTATGAAGGGACTATTATTCTGTCTATTGTAAAGGTTTACACTTTTCTTACTCCTTTAGTGTGGAGTGTCAGAAATGAACAAAGCAAAAAGTATGTGTTCAATCACCTTGTTTGATCAGGAGCCCAAATAGTATGTGTACTGTTTCCAATCCCTGGGATTCTTCTCAAATCTTTTTTCAAATAGATAAAAATAACAGATAGGAATAATAATAGAAATAACCAAATATCACTGAAGCCTTTAATCTATACATGAGATTAGAACAGCCTTCAGAAATTTTTCATGAATCATGAGTGTCACTGTTTGGAAGAGAATCTGGCAGAGTAGAAATGGGAAGAAAATGAATAAAAGTGGAAAACAGAACAAATGAGTGGGAAAAAAATTTTTTTGAAGGAGGTGCTTACAAGATTATGAAATATGCTTGACTCTCAGTAATATGGGTGCTAACCACAGACTAACAGACAAGAATCAAAGATGAGAACAGAAAGGTCACATATGAAAAAAAGAAAGCTAAATTTAGAATTGGAATTTCTAAATTCAAACCCCAATTCTCAAACTTACAGTCTGATCTTCTGCAAGTCAATCAGGTGTCTTGGTTGTACAGCTGAAGCTGAAATCCAAAAAAGTTATCTCAATTTAAATTAACAGACATATATGAAAGACTTCAGGGAGCCATCCATCATATTGCAGTTGGATGTTAGTTGAATCTAAAGCAGAAATTGGCACGAATTGAAAACTATCATTATGGCAAAGCAATGATAACATAAGAACCCAACAGCTGGAAGGCAGACTAAAAGAACATTTTCTTTCCTATTTCTAAAACAACGGACTTAAAAAAAGAAATAAAGAAATTAAGAAAAAGACGGACTAGTCTAGCCATAAGAAAATTCACCTTAATGCATCGGTATGATTGCAGATATTCTATAGAAATACCACTTTTACTCATTACTATTATTATTTTTTACTGAACTCCTTCAATATGCCAAACACCATGCTAGGTATAAAGTATATAGCTGTGAATAAAGCAGATGCAATCACTGCCCTCACAGAGGTTACAGTCTAGCAGGGAACCAGACAATTAAACGAAAAATGGCAAGTAAGTGTGATAGGTGATTTAATGGGAACCAAAACATGGAATTCAGGCAGTGAAATCAGACTAGGGGGCAAGTCTGAGGTAGGGGGTTAAGCACCATGCTCAGAGTTCATGACATACCCTCAGAGCTCAGCTACACAGCAGGAATGAGCAAAGCAAAAACAGAAGGGGATGGTTAGACAGAGGGTGCCAAGGAGACTACTCCTTCACCTAGGAAGACTGACAAGGTATTTTGGAAGATTTTTAGCCTAATTCTTGTGTCATGTATGAAATGGTGATAGGACCGATACGAGAGGAAAGTGCCTGTGTTACTATGATGCTATCGGACTGATAGACTCACACTCATGGAATAATAATTACTTTGCTTTCTTCTCAAAGTAAACTCTTCCCCTACTTCTCATCCTACAACCAGGCAGGGGAGCACAGTGGCTAAGAGTGCAGGCTCTGGAATCAGGTTGCCAGCTTGGGTTCACATTCTCACTCTTGCCACTTGCTAGCTCTAAGACCCTGGAGACTTTATTTTCTTCATCCCCTCATGCTTCAGCTTACTTATGTACAAGATGTTCCTAATGTTACTATTTTCCTCATTAAGTTATTATGAGGATTAAGTTAGTTAATAAGTCAAAAGTGTTTAAAACAGTGCCCAGCACAAAGTAAGAACTTATCTTCACTTATTGCTGCTACCAGTTTTATTTGCCAACCACTGGCCTTTTGTACTTTCCAGGAGGATAAGAGGTCAGTTGATTTTGTTTACATGGCATTGCTTTCAGTCACAAGGAAGACAAGAATGCAGCAGGACTACTAGCTTACCAACTGGTCCTCAAAATAGAAATAAGAAGCAACCAGAATCTTGCTGATCAGTTCTTCAGTTCTGACTCTGAATGTGGGAAGATAAGAAAGCTTCAAAGAGGTCTTCATCTCTTTCAGGTTATACAGAACTAAGACAGAGATGGCAGAGAGTGTGACCATGCTGAAATCAGGTCCCACAAGAAGGCAGTACTTTGGTGGACTCCTATGATTCAGAAACAATATTTATAGATGCATTTAGAGACTATCAAGCTAAGGGAGACCTGTTTATGCAGACCAATGCCAGGAGATTAAGTCCAGAATTTCAACTGCATCCACTCATCAAACATTTGAGTGCCAGTTATGTATAAAATACTGTTCTAAATGTTAAGAATATAGCAATCAAAAAAAGACAAAAGTCCCTGCAAACATATTAAATGACCTAAGTATATGTCATACCAGAAAGTGACAGATGCCATGGAGAATAATAAAGTACCAAAAGGAGACAGAGAGAGCAAAAGAGCAAAGAGAGAGGTGGGGTGTGGGGTGAACAATTTTCATCAGGGTATTAAGGGAAGGCCTCACGGAAATGGGGATGTTTAAGCAAAGACCTGAGGAGGTGAGAAGGACATGGAAACGTCTCAAAGGAGTATCCTGACCAGAAAGAACAGCAAATTTGAGTCCCTGAGAGTGTGTCCAAACTGTTGAGTAACAGCAAGGTGGTCAATGGGCCTGAGCAGTGAAAGGTAGTGGGAAAAGAGCAGGAAGTGGATCAGAAAGGAAATGGGGTCTTGTAGGCCTAAGTGTAAGAATCACAGCCTTTTCTGAGCAACGTGGGAGCTACTAGATAGCTTCGAACAGAATCATAGCTTAAAAGGATCACCCTGGCTGCTGGGCTGAGAAGAGAATGAAGGCTAATGGAGGTAACAGCAGCTTGGACCAAGGTGTTATCAGTGGAGATGGGAGAATTAGTCACATATTTTGAAGAGACAGCAGTAGGATTTGATGACAGATTGGATGTGGGGTGTAAAAGAGTTGCTGAGTTGGCCTCAGCAGTGGAAATGATGGAGTTGCCATGAACTGAGACAGAGAAGGTTGTAAGTATAGAAGGCTTTTGAGCAGAGGAGAGATCAGGAGTTTAGTTTTAGATATAACAAAATGGAGAGGTCTATTAAACATCCAAGGCTTCCCTGGTAGCTCAGCTGGTAAAGAATCCACCTGCAATGCAGAAGACCCCAGTTTGATTCCTGGGTCAGGAAGATCCACTGAAGAGAGGATAGGCTACCTATTCCAGCATTCTGGCCTGGAGAATTCCATGGACTGTATAGACAGCCCATGGGGATGCAAAGAGTCAGACATGACTACGCGACTCTCACTTTTCAGAGGTCTATTAAATATCCTAGGATACACAAGGCCTAATCTGAGACTAGGGAGTTGTGAGCATATTTATAATATCTGATGACGTAAGACTGAATGAGGTACTGAGGGAAAGAGCATGAAACAGAAGAGGTGCAACATCAGAGACCCGGGACACTCCAATAGTAAGAGGTCAGTGAGCAAAAGAGATTGAGAACAATGACTAGTAGTGCATTATGAATATCAGGAGGGTAAAGTGCCCTGTAACACTGAAGAAACAAGTGTAACAAGTGAAGCTACATGGGAGGTTGTGATCAACTGTGTCAAATGCTGTTGATAAGTCGAATGAAAAGACTGAGAACGGGCCACTGGATTAAGTAACATGGAGAGCAGTTTTGGTGGAATTCTGGGGGCAAGAGTTAGTTGGAGTGGATTTAACAGAAAATGTGAGAAAGGAATTGGGATGGTAAATACAGAACTCTTTCAGGGATATTCATTGTAAAGGGCCAAAAAAAAGCGAGGGGGGGGGGTGGACAATAGCTAGAGGAGAAAGTAGAGAGTTTTGTTGTTGTTATTTATTGTTGAAGACTAATTTTAAGAAGAAAAATATTAATTTACATTGTTTTTCAGTTGCTAAGCCACGTCTGACTTTTTGTGACCTCATAAACTGCAGCATGCCAGGCTTCTCTGTCCATCACTATCTCCCTGACTTTCTTCAAACTCATGCCCGTTGAGTCAGTGATGCCATCCAACCATCTCATCCTCTGTTACCCCCTTCTCCACTTGCCCTCAATTTTTCCCAGCATCAGGGTCTTTATCAATGAATGAGTCAGCTCTTCGAATTAGGTGGCCAAAGTATTGAAGCTTCAGCTTCAGCATCAGTCCTTCCAATCTACCATATCTAACTTATGCAGGGAACTATAACTAGTAAACGGAACACAAATAGATGTAACTGATCAGTGCTTTCTTCTCTCTGTTGGAAAACTATTGGGAAAGTCCAATTAAAGTCATAAGACTAATTCATGGGCATGGACAATAGCTCCACCTTACACTGTTTCCAATTATGAAGACTCTCAAGCATCCATCTACACTGCAGGAAAAGAACTGCTAAGTAGATCAGATGCTTTAATCAGCTGAGCAGGGTACCTCTCCTGTGACCAGTGCTGGAGAAACTCTAACCATTCATTCATTCCTCATTCAAGAAACATTACTGAGGGCCTGTTATAGGCCAATTACTAGGGATACAAGTCCAACAAAACATAACATTGCCTTTAGGAAGTTCATGGTTCAATAAAGGATGCAGACAAGCAAGGAAATCAAACCAGTCAATCCTGAAGGAAATCAACTCTGAATATTCATTGGAAGGATTGATGCTGAAGCTCCAATACTTTGGCACCTGATTCAAAGAGTCAACTCACAGGAAAAGACCCTGATGCCTGGAAAGACTGAAGGCCAAAGGAGAAGGGGGTGGCAGAGGATGAGATGGTTAGATATGTAATGTTAGATGTTTAGATATGTTAGAACTGTTTAGTGACTGAACCGCAAGCAAATAAATAGTTCTCATATCATGGTAAAAGAGGTATGTGTACATACGAGACAAAATTTGAATTAAAATAGTTAACAGCTTAGTATGGGGACACCTAGGTCATTTCTTTTTTCTGTTATAGATGGGCTTCCCTGGTGGCTCACAAATCCACCTACCAATGCAGGAGACATGGGTTCAATCTCTGGGTCAAGAAGATCTTCTGGAGAAGGCAATGGCAACTCACTCCAGTATTCTTGCCTGGGAAATTCCAGGGACAGAGGAGCCTGGAGGGCTACAGTTCATATGGTCACAAAAGAGTCAGACTAAACCACAACAATGGTTCAAGTGTTTGAGATACATCAGTGAACAAAACAAAGCCACTCCTATTTAGAATGTGTATATTAGCAGGGGAACCAGTAAACAATGAACATAAAAAGTAGTAAAACACACAGTATATCTGAAGATAATGACTGCTATAGGGAAAAATAGGGGCAGCTGAGGTAGGTGTCAAATTGTAATTTTAAATAGTATGAGCAAGGCCTCAGTGAGAAAGTGAAGGAGGTGAGGGAGTCAGCTATCTTCAAATTTGGAAAAAAAACATTTTAAGTACTGAAACAGACCCAAGGTGCTAAGGCAGAAGCGTAGCTGCTGTGTGGCAGTGGGAGAAGTAGGGAAACTTCTTAAGAAGCAGTTGCAGTAATCCAGGCAAGAGATGAAGGTATTGCAGACCCACGTCCCCTGCACCTGCAGAGGAGGCAGTAGTCAGTTTTTGGATGTATTCTGAAGGTACAGCCAATAGAATTACCTACAAGAATAGATGTGGAATAAGAGAGAAAAGAAGGTATTAATCATCCCTAGATTTCTAACCTCAGCAACTAAGATGGAAAATGCTGCAGGTGCAGATGTGAAAGGGAAATCAGCTCAGTGTTGGACAGATTGAGCTTGAGATGTCTATTAGACACCTCTATAGCACCTAGGATCCTCTTGGCCTTCTTGCCTGTGGGACAATTTGCAACTTATTTTGTCCCTATTGCCATGGCCACCCAACCTCAGGCAGTAACCACCCAATAGTGCCTTGCCTCATGCTCAGGCCACACATCTCACACAAAGGTCTGCCTGGTGCCCACACAAAACCTAAGTGTGCACATGTTCCAGAGGAGGGCAGTGTTAGCATCTTCTGACTGAATCTTAACCTTCTCTCCTGACTCCCTTCTTTTCGCTACCCTCATTTCCCCAGGACTGTACTCCCTAGTAAGATAAGAGCACAGAAGCCTCTAATTCTGGGAGAACCAAGGCTAAGACAACAGTGTTAGACATGTTAAGACAACAGTGAAAGCATGAATGGATAGCTGTTTAAATGAGTCTGGAGTTTGGGAGAGTGATTTGGGAAAAAGATATAATTTTGAGAGTTAATCAGCATGAGCATTGTATTTACAATCACAAGGCAGGATGAGGGCATAAAGGAGTGAACAAAAAAGATAAATAACAGGTGCTGGAAAAGTTGAAGATTTTATTTTAGTATCTTTGAGAGCAGAAACAACCTTTTATTCATGGCTATAGCTCCAGTTTTGTAGTACAGGGCACAAAGTAGGTGCTCAACAGGTATTTTGAGAATAAACAAAATAGGTCACCATGGCCCTCGGGTTAGGTAGAAAAACTAAGTCATGAGAGATGATGAACTAAAACAGGCAGGGTTCATGGAACTTGAGTTCACAGTGAGGGTAAAAATTAGGTTCAACAGCGGAAGCAAGAGAGTAAAATAACAGGAAAAGGAAGCGGTGGTTAGAAAAAAAGTGCTCAGATACCACTTTCTCCTTGAAGCCTTTTACAATCATCTCATGAGACCTTTCCCCTTTTCCATCTCATCTACTTTATACTAAGTCCACTTCCACCCATGTACTGTTCTCTTTCATCTCCCCAACATTAACCCTGTTTTCCAATTGAAAAATTAAGTAAAAAATAGGAGTAGCTTTTAAGTCCCAGAGATAAAAATGAATGCTAAAGTTGGATGATTCTAGTTCATTTCTATGGTTTATGGATATGCAAATACATGAAATTAGAAGACTACATTTCAAATCTGAAGCATATCCAAAGTGTTTAGCAAAATAACATGCATTTGAATGACTGGATGACTGAATGAATAAGTGAATTAATGAGGTCAGGTAAGAACAGAAGTCAGGGGAGCCAACATCAAGGACAAAATACGACTGAATGACTGTTGGAGGCTCACTGATCTGACCATAGGGCAAAGGTGGATCAGGCAAGCGGGCCTGCAGTTAAAAAGCACCAAGGAAGCTAGCAAAGCAACTAAGACATGAAGAGGTAGGGCCTAAGTGAGCTCACAGTGCAAACAGAAAAGGAGAATGTAGAGAAATTTTAAAATTAAAAATTACCATATTTGGTGAGTGCTAAGTATAGGCTATGAGTAACTCTTTATGATCCTATGGACTGTCGCCTGCCAGGCTTCTCTGTCCATGGGATTCTCCAGGCAAGAATACTGGAGTGGGTTGCCATTCCTTTCTCCAAGGGATCTTCTGGACCCAGGGATTGAACCCAGGTCTCCTGCATTGCAGGCAGATACTTTACCATCTGAGCCACCTGGGAATTCCCAAATAATTTCAATATTTTGGTATCATGTATAGGGCCAGGGTAAGAAGAGCAAGGAGATAAGCTACATTTTGAAAGTGTATTGACACAAAGATGAGATATATAAATAAATCTAATAATGGGAAACATTTTAATTGACACTTGTTACATGTCATTGTGCCAAGCACAACTTCCCATGAATGATCTCATTTAATTATCATAAGAACACTACTGATGTAGTAGCTACTATCATCTTCACTTCACAGATGGGAAAACTGAGGTGCACGAGGGAAGACCATGCCCAAAGTCACACAGCTGAACCAGGATTTGAATCCTAAAACAGTTAGAAATTTTGCCATGACCACAGAGATATTATTTGTTCAATAAATACTTAATGAACACCACTGCATTGTGCCGAGGATGGGAGGAGAGAAATTCTGGTGGCAAACAAGGCGCACTTGGTCACTACCTGCACAGACTCACATGAACAGTAAACAAATAATTCCAAGAATCATGAATCAAGGAAGTGCTAAGTTACAGTTAGGTAGGAGGAGTGGGTGACAGGAAAGAATTTCAAGGGAATAGCATGTATAAATACCTCGAGGTGAGAACCTACAGTAGAGAACAAGAGAAAAGAGCCTGGAAAAATAAAAGACTAACATGGCTGGAGTGCAGATAGCTAGAGAAATCACTGGAGAGGCTGAGAACACAAGCCTGGATAACGGAGGGCCTGGCCTTTGCGATAAGGACTCAGATTGTGTTCAGTAAACAAAGGGAAGGGCTTAAGGAATTCAACAGGGTAGCAACTTGATCAGATTTGTATTTGTTAAAAATTACTCTGGCTGCAGTATGGCAAATGGATTGGAATGAGCCAAGACCAGTTTTGTAGGACCTAGCTGGCAGTTACTGCAGAACTTCCAGCAAGAGGTGAAGTTAGCTTACAGTGGGATGGAAAAGTGGTCGTTAAGAACAGAGAGAAGCCACAAATTCCTATTTTCTCAAGGCAGGTCTAGGGGATTCTGATGTGTGTTGGAGGTGTCTTAGGTTTCTGAACTAAGTAGATGGATAGCATTTCCTTTACTGAACCAGGGGCTATAGGAAGAGGGGTTTGGCACACCCAAGTCATCCAGATGAAAGTGTAGCAAAGGCACTTGGAAATATGAATCTAGAGTTCAAGAGCAAGATCGAGGCTTGAGCTTTGAGCTGGAGTCTTTGGCGTATGGTATCTGAAGGGAAGAGAAGAGGATGAGACCACCTAGGAAAGCGCATAGGTGGGACTCCAGAAGCGGGTGAAGCTCAACAGGATTCCAGTATTTAACAGCTGGCTAAAGGAGGAGAAGCCGGTTGTTAAAGAACAACCAGAGTTAAGAGGAAAACAAGAGCGGAAGACAAGAGCATATGTGGATAAGGGTGTGGGCAATAGTGTAAGATGCCAGAACAAGGTCTTGTAAGCAGAGGCCTGAAGCTTGTCTGTGACAATTCAGAGCTGCTCCAGGTGCGTGGTAAGAACAGAAACTAGACTAGAGAGGGCTGAGGGTGAGTCATGAGAGAATGTCTACGTGGTAAGAGATGGAGAGGGACTTAAAGACAGAAATCTAGACATGAGAGACTTGGTGGTGGTTTAGTCCCTAAGTCGCGACCTACTCTTGTGACCCCATGGACTGTAGCCTGCCGGGTTTCTGTCCATGGGATTATCCAGGCAAGATACTGGAGCGGGCTGCCATTTCCTTTTCCAGGGGAGAGAGACTTAAGGCTGTTTAAATACTAGACAGAAACTCCGGTAGCGGAAGAAAGTTGAAAATAACGGAAGGAAAGGAGGTTATTCTTCAGCCGAAGAGAAAGCAGGAGATCTACAGTACTAGGCTAGAGCACGGGACGAGGGAACTCTTTCAACAGGAAGTCAGTATGGGGCGGAGCTGACTTGGACCCTCTCCGCTTCATAAGACACATTTGCGGTAAGTGTGCCTGCTAAGTTGCTTCACTCGTGTCCGACTCTTTGCAAGCCCATGGACTCGTTGCCCGCCAGGCTCCTCTATCCATGGGATTCTCCAGGCAAGAATATTGGAGTGGCTTGCCATTTCCTTCTTCAGAGCTTTAAGCGACTGAGAGTGAATTACAACAGACCTGAAAGCCCGGGAGAGAGCACTGCCGAGTTAAATAAAACGGATAATGACAAAGTCAGCACTGACTCTCGGGTGACCTCTGAGGGGGCAAGACCAGCTGCTTCCAGGCAACGGATGTCGCACTGAGGGTTCGGATGGGGAAGTAGATGAAGAAAACGGGGCAGCGGCTGCAGTAGAAAACTGGCTGTGAAAAAGAAAGCAATACAGTATGGTTCCCCCCACCCCACCCCCCAAAAGGCGGGCAGGTAGGGGGCGATTAGGGGAAGACATTTCGAAAGTACAAAAAAGCAACCTCGGTCAGGGCAAGGCAGGGCTCGGAGACCCAAGGTGTGCCCCACGGACCTGGCCGTCCTTGCTGCCCGGCTAAACTCCGCCAGCTACCCGGAATCCCAAGGCCTCCGTCCCCAGAAATTGAATGGTCCCACCGGCGGCCGCCAGGTTTCTCTGCAGATTCTCGGAGCGAAGCCTCCCGGCCTGCCCAGAAAGGCGGAAAATCCTTCCCACAGTGGCCCACGACGCCCCCGGGCCGCGCCGGCGCCGCGCCGAGGCCTAGCGTCCCAGCGTCCGGCCCAGGCCTCGGGAAACCGCAGAGCTGCAGCAAGCCTTCCTCCCCGGCTCCGCAGGGCTTCCGCGCTCAGTCGGGGCCCCGACCCGTTGGCGCGTCTTTCTGGTCCCGGCAGCTTTTGAAAGTTCCCGGGGCGAGCGGCGCTCTGGGGCCCAGGCCCGTGACGCTGCAGCCGCCCTAGAGATCGCCGCTTACAGCTGCAAGGGCAGCCTGCACCGGGGGTTTCCATCGAACCGTCCACACCCTCGGGAATTCCCCACCACGCCACACACAAACCCCAATTCTTCCTTCAAATTTCCACCGCCGGTTTTAAACCGTCGATACGCGGCGAGAGCAGCGGGGGTGCTTAGAGCCCCCTACCTCCCCACCCCCGGGTCCCAGCCCACCGCCGCTTTCCCTCTCCCGAAGGAACCCCAACGCCGCGCCCGAAGGAACTCGAAGGTCTTCGGCAACTTCCGCCTTCAGCGCGGAGGGCGGGGCAGCTCGAGCTCCTCCGGACCGAGCTCGGCTGTTTCCGTGCGCGGCCGCTGCGCACTCGGCACTGGGCGGCGCTGGCTGGCTCCCTGGCTGCGAGTCCTCAGTCGGCGGCGGCTGCTGCTGCCTGTGGCCCGGGCGGCTGGGAGAAGCGGAGTGTTGGTGAGTGACGCGGCGGAGGTGTAGTTTGACGCGGTGTGTTACGTGGGGGAGAGAATAAAACTCCAGCGAGATCCGGGCCGCGAACGAAAGCAGTGACGGAGGAGCTTGTACCACCGGTAAGAGGAGCAGGAGGAGGAGGCAGGAGCCGGAGAGAGCCGGGGGGACGGAGGGGGGACGGGGAGGCGCCGGACACCCGCGCTCGGGGCCTTCCCCTCGCAGGAGGGGCCGCGGTAAAGATGGAGCCTCCGCCCGAGCCCCACACCATCGCCGCCGCTCGCAGCGAACAAAGAATAATGGCGGCGGACTGGAGCCAGCGGCGGCCGGGGCGGCAGCGACTCTGCCTGCAGCCAGCGGCGGCGCTCATGGCGGGGGGCGGCGGGGAGACCCGGCCCGCAGTCCGTCGGGGTAGCGCCGCCGGGGTGCCCGCGGGGGGTGGAGGAGGAAGAAGAAGGCGACAGTTGAGGGCAGAGGAGGTGAAGGTGCCTGCTTTCCCGGTAGCCTCCCTGTCTGCCATGCCCGCCTAGCGAGGGGAAGCGGTGCTCCGTCTGACCTACTCTCCTCTCCTCTCTTTGTGCAATAAAGTTCGAAACCCAAGGTTTTCCTCTCGTCCTGTATTTTATTCACGCCCTTTCCCCCCGCTCCCGCCCCATTGGGAAAATGCTGTTTTCTGTGCTTTTCTGCTTACATGAGGTAATGAGAACTCGCGCTTTTTAAAATAATTTTTTGACTCTTTCCCTCACCCTCTTTTTTTCTTCCAAATCAGTAGTCATGGAAATGCATTCTTTGGGGGAGGAAGGGGGTGCTAAGAAAAATATATTTGTAATTAAAAAAAAAAACCTATTGGGATCTTGTAAAAGGGAAGCTGATGTTTGAAAACAGTTTCGGTTTTAACCCTTTTCAATAAGGTAATCACTTGAGAGCTATCATTCTGAAACACTTCGTTGAAACGAGTATTAGCGACGTACTTTTGTTTCCCATCACCTTGGCGGGGGGCAGCCGTGGTGTTGGGTCCTTTGGATCTCCCCTATCCCGACCATTATTTCTCACGTCTTTCTTAAATACGAGATTGGTTAACCCTAAATCTAAAAATAGCCATTTAAAAGTATCCATTATTTTCCTCGCCCGTAGTAGGCAACCCTAGCCCCAGACCCACAATAATTTAAGTCATAAGGTTTATTTTTTCTTTTCCTGTTGGGGAAAAGGGACAGCAGAAAAATCATTGACACATCAAAAATTAAAAGACAATTTTTAAAGGACCATGGGATGTGACCTATTTAAGTTTGTCTTACCTTCTTCAGAAGTTAAAATTTCATGCAAGCGTTCGCTTTCATCAGTTCTGCCTTGTAAAGGTTTAGTATAAAATACTTTTGGTTGCCAGTTGTTGAAATCTTTTACATTCATTTCCTGATTTAAAAATAAAGCCAAAACGGTTATTTTAGGTGATGCAAAAGGTTGTTTTTTTAAAGTACTTCCCTGTCTCATGGTATGATAGAATGGTGATTGATACAAGGTTTCTTGTTAGGAGTAAATAGTAGAAGCACTGTCTTCTGATTTTCTTTATCCAAGTCACTTTTCCAAAACCTCCTTACTGTATTACTAGTATTAAAAAAAAACCACACACATTAGCCATTTTTCATTGCCAAGAAATTTAATTAAGAAGATGAACTAAAGAGTATTTTTCCGTTAAGAGTTGGGAAGAGGATTTTATTTCCAAACACTGAGGAAATTATGATCTTGATGTTGCCATAGATTACTGTTTTTCCTTAAGGATTTTCTGCAGACCAGCCTAAGTTGAATAGAATTCTTTTCCCTTACAGATACTGTCTGCCAATGACTCTTCCTTTGTTGATTTTTTTAAAAAAGTTATGATAGTTTTTTCTTTTATTTAAAAGGTCTTTTTAATTTTTTACTTATAAATTCATAATCTAATTCTTACCAGTCTCAGGTGAAACTTTGTAAACTTTTGTAATCATTAATATTTGAATATTCATTTGTAACATGTTACTAAGTTATACTTCTACCCCCTCCCAGGGATCAGCAGAAATTAGTTAAATCTGCTTGAACTTTTTTTAATGAATGTGTATTCAGAAAGCCAGTGAGTTTTTGATAGAAATTAACTGAAAACTGTTAAAAAGTATTTCTTATGGAATATAAAACTCCAGTGTAACTCCTTTTGAATCATTTTTTTTTCCTCCCCCACAAAAGAGCCTAAGGAAACTTCATAAAATGGCTCTTTTTTCTGCTTTCTGAAATTCATTTTCATGATTAGATCTGATTAATAGACATTTTTGTTTCTTCATAGAGACGTACCTTTATTTTTCATTCTAAGACACTGAGTTTTATTTTGGGGGATATAATATGGCTACAGTAAAACCACATATATTATCCCTTGCTTCACCTCATTTTAAAAATTATTTTCCTTTACACAGTAGAAAAAAATTCTTGTAATCTTAACACTTATAGTTTATCAGTGAAATTTGTAATTTCATTTATTCTATAAATGTCTTATCAGGCATGGTTATGTGGACTTGTTTATAGCCAGCCTGTGACATAATCTTACAAGCATATCTTTCTTGAATACATAGTGTCACTTCAAGTGATGGCTTCTTTATTGACTAGTTAGAGCTCAAATCTGAGTTTAAGGATGTAGTAGTCAGAGAATGGGAAAAAGAAAATGAAAGGGTTTTTTTTGTTCTTCTTACTCAGGTATGAACACATTTCTACATTATCACTTGAGACACACTTTATGGTACTTCAAATAATAGTTCGCATTTACTGTGGTAGAGAATCTAGTTAATGGAAAGCATTGGGTTTGGGAATCACGGGCCAGTTTGAATCCTGCTGTCGCCACTATTATCCTGTGCCTACCCTCAAGGAATTTTGTGACCTACAAGAAGCTTCTTGATCTTTCTCAGTCTTTGTTTTTTTATCTGTTAGAATAATGCCAGCTACTTTTAGTGTTGTCAGGTAATTATAAAATACTTCCTTGGGGATTCAATTTATTTTTAAGTTTTATTTTAACTTCTAGCTGTGGAACCTTGGGCAGATTTCTTCTCTATACTCATTTTCCTTGATCTTAAGTATACAGTATCCAACTCAGACACATGTGGGAATTAAATGAGTTAGTACATATTAAACTCTAGGCATGTCACAAGTGGTCAACAAATGTTTCCTATTATGTTTTAAATTATTCATCATTATTATTGTTACTGTGTTTTAATTCACTAGGCCAGAAGCTGCAGCAAATCCAAAGATGGATTACACTGTCATATCTCTCTACCCTCAAGGAACTATTGGGGACATGATGACTAATAAGGCAGAATATATGCCATAAGAAAGCAGTCAAAAGGAAAGAGAGATCACACTTGATGAAGATGGAAGAAAAGAGGATTATATTTTTTATTTCCAATTTTATTTTTTAATAAGTAATTCTTTTAGATAGTCCATAATTCAAAACACATAAAATGTAATGCAGCAGAAGGTCATGTTTTTTGCCCCCACCCTCCAATCACCCAAGTGTTACCAATTTCTCTTTTGTCTTTTCAGAGGTACTCTATCCATATACAAACCAGTATGTATGTGCGCTCTGCCGCATCCCCCTTTATATACGAATGGTAGTATACTGTGTACACTCCTATATCTTCCAGTTTTCACTTAACACGGCTTAGCATTTGGGTTGTGTCAGTACATAAAGACCTTCATTCTTTTCATTATCAGGCACTTCATCATCTGAATATATACCTTTGTTTATTGACCAGTTGGTGTGTTGATTTTAATTTTAGCTCTCATGGCTTTTTCAAGTAAGGAAATTTGTCATTATGCCTTTATTTCTTTAAATTAAAGATTTCATATGAATGAGAGCAGTCTGTGATACGAAGTTATTTAAGCTCCCTCGATTATCTTTAGTTTCAGTTTTAAGTTTTAGTAAAATGTTCGAGATGTACATGAATAGGGAAGCAAGCTGTATGAGAGTTAACTCTCAAAGTAAATTTAGTCTGTATTTAACTCCTTTGTTGTGGTTCTTATAGCCCTAAACAGCCTTTTATTATTTCAGCCAATAAAAGTCTATAGTTTTCTCTTTAAATGAGAAAGAACATCTTATGTAGTCCAGACCTTTTTATAAGTAGACCAATCTCACGGGATGCGATTACCCAGTAATCTTGATTACTGTACTAGCTTTCTCCGAGTTAATTTTTTACACACTCATTAACTTTTTTTTTTGATGATTTTCTAATATTTCTTAGTGTAATTATCAGTGAGTTTTATATTTGATACCTAAATAGTTTCACCTATATGATTGTCTACTGAGACTTTACTTCTTAGATGAATTTTTTTTTCTTTTACTGTGGAAGTCCTTGGCCAAGTTACTACTTGGCCCAAGTAATAACTCCTTCCAAGTGGAGCACAAAAGAAAGGTTTCAATGTTCTCTTTTTCTTTTTTTCGACCTTCTTCTAAGCAGCATTTAACTATTAATATATTTTAAATATACATCTGTTAGTATATTTATCTTTAAGATACACATGCTATAAGGTCTTTGAGTTGATTAAACTTAGAAAATGATAACTAATAATCTAGCAGCAGGGACTCAAAAA